CTATAATGAAATCTACAAAGAGAGTCCCTCACTGTTACAGGGAAGGTGACGATCCGAGGCTCCTGGTTGCTGCCACTCATGGTGGAGCTCACGTCTACAAGGTCGATCGACAAATTGGTAAAAATGCATTTATTCCCATTTTGAAAGATTTGGCTCTGTCATCATCGCTTATTTCTCTAGGAGTTATTCAGCGGTGGTTTGGCTCGATGTTGCGTCATCAGTATCAGTTGTGGGCTTCTCACACGGTTCATCAGTCCATGACTTACGGAATCACATCGCTGGGACGATTGACCGTCCCCGGAACCATCACCCATCTAGAAACGTCGTTTGCGAGAGAGAACCCACGTACAAGAACCTTGTACATGTCCGCAAGTTTTTATGACAAGTACATTGCATTGTGGGAAGCATAGATACAATAAGGAAAAGAACCATCAACCAGCGCATTCAGTCGTCATTCTGTCCGTTGTCTTGCAACATCTGTAGCCCCACTTGCCACTTTTCTGGTCGAAATATGACCCCCAGACGGAACTATGATCGCCGAAATACACGTCCCTCTTGGTACTTCGATTTCGAAATCCTCGGCTTGCGGATTGTTTTGATGCTGAAAACAAAAACCATAGAAAAAGATAAATGAAGACAAAAAAGATCGAGATCCATCGAATAAGGGGAGGATCCTTAGACGACTTGGAATGATTCCCTACCTGCCATCTGTGGGTGAATATTCTACGTAAACATCAGATTGGGACAACAAGGCGGGATCATTCGGTATATTCCCCTTTATCTTCCACTCCATATTTCTCTAACAATTGTTTTCTTTTCAATTCAATTAATTCTTGCTTTTTCCTCGCGTGTTCGTTGTGCATGAGCTCTAATTGCGTTGGCTGGGCTTGAGTATGAACATTAGCATCATGTTTATAAGCGTCCCACGCGAAAATCTATAAACAAAATGAAAAACCTTCCATTTGGGCAAATTGATACATTTGGTCAAATCTATCAATTTGTCGAATCGTCGACTTATTCAACTTACTTCCATCTTTGTGACAATATTCGAGTCGCCACTCTGCCTTGCAACATTATCACCCCTATAGACACCTTGCTCGGCGTCTTTTAAATGCTTGAGTGGATTATCACGCATGCTACGAGTCTTTGGATCATAAAATGCGGAGTTGACATCAAGATTGAAAAGATATTTTGCGGTATCTTCTCTAATCCGCAAGTTCATCATCGTCGTTCTTGTTCGATCATCTTTCATGTTGACAGGGGCGTTTGTTTCGTCAAAGTCTTTCAATTTAACGTCTTCCAAATCGTCATCGTCGTCATTATCGCTATCAGAATCACTGGGAAAAAAAAAAGATGAATATTTGAAGAACATCACAACAACAAATCGTCCACAGAAATTAATCTCTCCAAATTGAACAATCAGAACTTTTACTAAACAATGTAACAAGGAATTTCTACGAAAAGAGCTATTTCTCAATTCCTGCTCCCCCAACCAATACACTCTCATAAACAGTGTCGCCCACTTATGATTCTCTCCAACCCACCTGTCCGAACCGCTTCGTTCCGAACCTTCTTTGTCGTCCGTCTTTCGTTTTTTCCTTTTTTCTTTTTTCTTCTTTAATTCCTGTTCCAGTTCGTTTGCTTTCCGCTTTTTCCTTTCATCATCCGCCAATTCAAAGTCCCTCACAACAAGACGATACGCTTTTGGGTCATAACCACCATATCGATCTCGCTTGCCATCAAAATCAAGAGTAAGTCCTTCGTATTCGGCAATCATTTCATCAGGCCGAATGTCTTGACCTAAAGGGTGAAAAACAAGCGAGTTAAACGCAGAAGGCGCTGGCATCCCTACCCGTCCATCGTGCTCCTTGTTTTCGGGGTCTCTCTGTGCAGTCTTTAGCTTGATGCGTTGCTGCACCGCAGTTCTGGCAAGCTCCTTTTCGGTATTTTGTAGCTCGTGGAACGTCATTGATCAGCCCTCTTTTGTACCATTTGTTAAAGTTGCTAGCTTGCTCAGCTGAAAATCGTTGATGTTTTAAGGACGGCCTGTTACTGCTATCTTGTTGGTTGCTCAGATACCACGGCGCTTTAGCAATGTATTGTGGAATATGGGGGTTGATGTCTTTCCCTTCTTCATCCTTTTCGGCTGGAATTAATCCACTTTTACGAGCCTCCTCAAGTTCGCGTTGCTTCTTAATGTCATCTCGAGTGAAAAATGATTGAGCTGCTTGACTCTCTGCATCCACAACCCGAACGGCCTCACCTCCCACTGGCATAAGGAGCTTAAAAGGTTCACAAAAAAAAACCAATCCTGTACCACCTGGACAACGCTGTCACCATTAGCCCCAATTAATGGTTTTTTGTTTTGCGTAGCGTTGAATCCACCAATTTGAAAAATCTTCAACAATCAATGCACGCGTCTGACCAATCCAGTCCAAATGCAATTTTTTCCAAGAATGTCTCATCTGAAGTTACTTTAACACGTTTTCCTCTTTTTAAACTATTCGCGTATGGGCTGCTCCTGCTTTTCTCCTTGCTTCACAACAACCGAAGGTCGTCCCATCAGTTAGATGGAGCTCCCTCTCAGAACACTCAATCTCAACTCCGCTCTGAATGTGGATCCGTATCTTCCAACTCCTCATGCTGATGACGCTCTCTTCGAAATTTCTTCCCACCAGCAACTCCCTCCCGCTCTCGTACGCCGTTTGCTCGATATGGAGTCCTCTGGTCCTAGAAAACGGCTTCAAACAGCTTCCCTCTACGGCGGAATTTACGACTATGCGTATTATTTCGTCTCTGTATTGGTCGGGACACCACCGCAACGGCAGTCCGTTATAGTTGACAGCGGAAGCTCACTGCTGGGATTTCCTTGCCGCAACTGCGTAGAATGTGGAAATCATATGGATGGAGGTTTTGATTTTACTCAATCGAAGACAGCTCATTGGTTATCGTGTCGGTCTCCCCAATGCATTACAGGGCGCTGTGGATTAGGAGATGTCTGTCCCTATCAACAGAGTTATAGTGAAGGTTCCTCCATAGAAGGCAATTATTTCAGTGATATGGTGGCTCTTGGAGAACAAAGATCGAACAATAGTTTTGTTAGATTTGACCATATCGGATGTCATCACAAAGAAACCAATTTGTTTGTTAGTCAGGTGCGTTAAATGTTCAGATGCATTTCGAAAATAGCATACAAAGTTTGTGATCTCCTCTGGAACACCGAATTTCAGCTTCCGTTTCTCTTTTTTTTCTCAGAAAGCAAGCGGCATTCTTGGTGTTTCGTATCCGAAGCATGGAAAACAGGAAACGCTAATCGATGCACTTTTCAAGTCACCTGACGTCGACACGAAGATCTTCTCAATCTGTGCCGCTGAAGAAGGCGGTTTGATGACAATTGGTGGATTCAATTCCACTCTTCATATTCCTAGCAGAACACAAGGATCGGCAACGTTGCGGCTTTTGGGACTGTCCCAATCGCTGCGATTCGATATGAAGCTTCGAGAGGAGGTTTTAGCAGATAGAGCAAGTGATGACGTTGCGGAACCAATGAGCAGACTGAACGTCTTGTTGGAAGAACATCGAGAGAGACGTCGACGTTTACAGGAGCAGCAGAACAACACTTTGGGACAGCCGTCAGTCGAAGCCACTGCGATCGTTACAGAAGATTCCAATATTGTTTCACCCGGAACAGCCCGTCGTTTTTGAAACCCCCCGTGAGCGTCGCGTGGACTCCGATTACGTCAAGTGCGACATACCAAATCGAGGTCAACGAGGTTTTTGCAGTAGAAGAAAGTGGTCGAGTTGACGATGAAGGTGTTCAAATTGCCACAAGTGCAGATTTGGGACATTGTATCGTTGATTCTGGTAGGTTTCTCATGTGTTGCGTCATTCGTTGATCATCTTGTCCATCATCTAATTTCATCTTTCTCTACTGTGATGCTAGCGTCAACGAATTCGTTTTTCAATTCTTTTTACAATTCTTTTTCCAGGCACAACATTTTCGTATCTCGCTCCACGCGCTTTTCGAAATTTGATGGCTGTACTGCAGCGCTCTTGTTCATCGAAAACGTCCTCATTTTGTGTGTCCCACTCCGGAGCTTCAAATGACGGATTATGTTGGAAGATTGAAACCTCGTCGATGTTCAAACTTCTTCCAAGTTTTTTATTCAAACTCAAGTAATTAAAAAATGGAGAGAACGTTTTCGCTTGAGTTGATTCATATTTTGATTTTAATTCTTCATGCTTCTATTGCACTTATCTTTTTCACTGTTGCAGTTATGTTTTTCATGATTTTCAGGGGTGGGGCGGTAGTCGAGTGGAAAGCCCATTCTTATTTACACAGACGCGCTAAAACTAAAGTTTGGTGTGTCGCTGTGGATGATAATGGTCGAGAATCCTCGATCCTAGGAATGTCATTTATGAAGCACAATAACATCATTTTTGATAGAGAAAGAGATCTTATTGGTAAGTCATGCGGGAATACAGCGACGAAGAAGGAATGAGTAATAAAGCTGGGAATACAGCGCATATGAAATTGCTGATCCAATTCTCTTTCTAATAGGATTCGTAGAGGCGAATTGTCCGACAGTTGCGGACTCCTCAAGACCACCTCCTCCAACATTCGCTCCAAGTAAGCGCGCTTTTGGTTTCTGGGTGACATCTATGGGACTTGATTTTAGGCTCTCCCTCAACTTTAGGTCTTCCAATCCCAGATTTTGTGACGGAAACTGTCTCAGTAGAGGAGATTGATGTCTCACCAGGCATCGGTAGTAATGCTATAGGTAGGGAGAATGAATGTGACGGCAGTCTCGTTCTGTGGATCCCGATGGATGTCTTCCCGACACTCTATACTCGTTCATTAGAATTTTAATTGTTTAAAATTCCAAGACGTCTTTTTTGTTTTTCAGTATTTTGGGGTTCTGCAGGAATCTTCATGGGAGTAGGAGTTTTAGCGATGGGTGCGATCGCGTTTAGAACGATGGGAAGGCGGCCTCTTGAATATGAACCCATGAACGGAGATTCTTCACGAATTCACGAAGAGCCAGTTGCCATACAAATCGGAGCGCCGGGTCATGATGACGGCCAGCAAAGCTATAAGGACGTTGGTAGGCATGATGACGCCGAGCAAGGCTACAAAGACGTTGGTAGGCAGTTGGTTTGACAGTGCATCACATAACTGTCTATAAGTGTACATATCATCACTGTGTGTATTGTAGTGGGAATTTGATTGTTCTGTTTTTTATTGGAATTCTTTTTTTTCAGATTCCAATGAATCTCAGTACGATGATATTGAGAGGGAGTTGACAGAACTCGAGGCTCGATTGTAATGCCAGCGATGTCCCAAATCTGCTTTATCAACAGTCGCAGAGTCTCTTATTGATTTTCCAAACTTGTGGGAAGGTACAGCGTGTGTGTTCTTTTTCTTCTTAACCGCGACCAAAACTTCGCTTTAGTCCATTTTTGTAAAGGCTTACAGGCCAGTTAAAGTTAGGAAAATGGTAAAAAGGTTCGGTAGGAAACACGGAGACGTACAAAAACACTCAGAAACGGGATTGAGCCAGGTACGCCAGCTTCTTCAGGACAGCCGACAATTTTGAATGTTGCACCTACTGTCCCAATGATGGCCGACGAACCATTGGAAGAAAGTTGGGTGAATCTTAACCTCGCGTCCCAGCACCGCCTTGAGCCGCATCTCGTCAATTGGGAACGTAAGATCTTTTAATTATTGTCTGTAAGATCATTCTCTGATATTCAGCGAGTCAAGCTGCAAAAGTCATTCAAGAAGATCTATTCGATCCAACAGCTGATGATGAGGATGAAGCTTGGATGCAAAAAACCTTCGGTGAGTCCATTTGTGATTTCTAGAGACTCGTGACTTTCTGCAGGTGAAGAAAGAAAGTCGACTGATGCCGTTCTTTCGTGTCCGTTGTGTTTCTGCTCGGTCTGTCACGTCTCGCATCAGTAAGATCGAGTCGAGTAGTATTGATCATCATATAATCATCAATGATCGAAATATAGTTTGTCATCTACTCCATCATCGTTTTAGGGAAGTTCGTCCTTCAAACATAATTTATCGATCATCGGAAGCAACAAACGTTCTTCTTCTCCCTCGAAAACCGGTTGTCGGCACACGCGCTCGTCGTCCCATCTCGCAGGTGGAATCAGTGGGTGACATTGACACTTCCCGATCAGCAAAACGTCTACGCGTCTCTGAAGCAAAGGGTGTTCCTACTCAACTCGAACCACAACCGGAGATGTCACCTATTGCTGACTCCACAGAATCATCAGCAATTCAATGTGCCGTTTGTTTCACAATTCTGGGCGAATATGATCCCTTCTCCTCCCTGTATACATGGAACTCGGTCTTGCCTAGTTGCTGATCAGCTTCGGGTGGTTCAGCTGCATTCCAATGCTAATCAATGTTCGTAAAAGTGAATCTCTGCACTTTCCGTCTGATTGTTGAAGGAGAAGCGGAAAGAAGGAAGATTACTGTTTGGATTCCTAGCGAAGAATGTTGTGGAAGAGAATTCTATCGCGCATTCTGGGTTGCGCGTTCTTGGAAAAAAAGATAAAATGGGGTATTCAAGCAAAAAAAATATATTCAAATTCCCTGCAACCCTCAGCGATGGAAAATCATGCGATTAATCAAACGAACGGTTCTTCAAGTTCTATTGAAGCTTCTATTAAAGGCCCTAAAGCCTCTCTGGAACGAATAGGGAGCACAATTCAAGGTTCATATGGACCTAAACAATTTTATAGATTTACCTTCGTTGAAAAATTGCTAAGATGAGCAACTCGGCAGAAGCGAAGACATATGCAACGAGAAGACTCCATAATATGACATCTCCCGGATAATATCGGAATATGAGAACCCCACATAAATCGGCAACAACTAATAGTGACAGCAACGCTAAATTCATGACCGATAGTCTGCAAATGAGAGGGAGGCAATTGCACGTGAAAGTACACAAACAATCTTACGTGGCACCACAACAGGGAGGTTCTTCTTCGTCCTCATCGGTATCACTTTCTGTAAGCATTCGTCCTGCAAAATGGGACAACACTAAAGGCCCTTCCGACACCAGATTCCCTCTTATTACAGACACCCAAGTGGCATCACTTTGGTATAATTTTCGCACCTATGACTTCAAACAACTCATCTTGTAAATGATCTCGCTGTGCTGCATTAACGCTCCACTCAGCTGAGGTGTCTTCTTCTCCATCGATACGGGCAAGTCCTAATGCGCAAAGATTGGTGCTGTGTTCTAAGTTTGTTTGCCAATACCCGATTTGCAGACTGAGCAATTCAAAATGTTTGGTTGATTTTGCGCCAAAAGTCGTGACCTTAAAATGCAAAGTTTCTGGTTCCTCCGCCAATTGATCCTGAGAGCACGAAATGGATCGACCAGCTAAACGTTGAACCCCACCAGCATTTCCGATGAACAACTGTGTAGCATTGACTGCAACAAGAAACAAGTTCACGTTTTCGGCGGGGCCTTTTTTCGTCTTTGCTTTCTAAACAAATAAAACAACTACGGGGAATTTCTTCATACTCCTGCATCGTGACTGGTTTTTACTGATTGGATGCCATGGCGAAAATAAGGAGATAAACCAGAAAGAAACAGTGCCACTTGTTGAGTGTGTGAACAAACTCTGGAAGTTGGAAAACTTCGGTGCAAAAAACAAGTCAAAAACACGATATCTACAAAATTAGCGAGATTTGCTCTTTTTTTTAACTCCCTGTACTGCCATTACTAGCGCTTTTAATCCTTTGGGAGAAGACTTCTGCTTCGTCTTTTTTCCTTCATGACTTGGAGGAGGAGTCAGTTGATCTTTAGACAGTAGTTCTCGGTGTTTTGATTTCTGTTTTTTGCTTGATTTTGATATTTTAGGTGTTCGAAATTGCTCAGGCGATTCCATCACAGCTACCCGTTTCTCCTTCTTACTTTTTTTCGCTGAGACAACCTCTTGATCTTGCGTAGACTCCTTTTGCTGCTTCTCCTTCCTTTTCTTTAATGGGCTCTCGCGAGCTGGAGCCTTGATTTGAACTCCGTGATTCACCTCTTGCGTTTCTTTTTCTTTCTTCTTTTTCTTTGTGGCCTTATCTATAGTTTTCTCTCGAACATTTGATGGGCTATTTTTCTCCTTTCCAGAATCCTTTTTCTTCTTTTTAAATGAAGAGCTAGGTATCACTTCAACTTCATCTGCTGAATCCGGATCTACTGGCACAACAATTTCCACTGCAGCGGGTGATGGTGAACGGGATTTCTTGACTCGTGATTTCTTGCGCTCAGGGGATGGGGACGTCGGCTCTTCCTGTTCCCGAGATTTCAGTGATCGCTCCCTCTGCCCTGGTTTGTCGTCGAGAGCTTGGTTTGCGGCAGTGTAGAACCTCACAACGCGCTCCGCAACTTCTGCATCAATTTTCGGTCGAACGTCGTCTGCAAACAAGTCAGTTGATAGTGAGAATGTTCGAAGGAAGAGTTTACCCTTTGACGTTTTCCCAGCTTGAGCTTCTCGTATTTGAATAATTTTCTTCATGTAAAGCTTCACTCTATCCAATTCTTGTGCTATTGGATGCTCCGAATAATCAACTCCACGAGAACGAAGGTGTGCTAGAAAACAGAATATGCGTTAGAAAACAAAAGATATGTGTTGCAATAATTGAGGCAGAGCCGAGAAGAGGATGCCAAACACCACAGAGAGTGGAGGATGAGTGTGAAAAAATTATAACGGATTCTTACTGAAGTAGATTGACACAACCGCAAACGCGACGCAGGCGTTGAGCTGCGCATAATCGATAGCTACAGAATCAAAATGGCTTGATGAAATCTGGAACGTTCACACCTGTGAGTTTTTCTTCTAAAGCTTCTATCGATGAGAATCGTTCCTTTATCCGATTCAGATGGTCACCAACAACTTGGACAGATGCTTCAACAGCGTCCAGGTTGCTGATAAAGGGATCCATAATTAATCCAGGACGACCGATCTGTGCCTGCTGTGATCAATCATGCATCTCAACACATGCATTTCAAAATCTTAAGAAATTCTATCCTTATAACAATCTTTAACTGAGGATTTAAATTGTGTTCCTATGCATCTCTATCCTTAAATTTGTTTTTAGGGTCAATCTGGTATACGCTCGACTTTTGCAGGTGCTCAATATCTTCAGAAATCCAAGGGGCGCAAAATTTCCATCTTTGATAGAAATTTGTTCATCAACCTGTTGATCAAATCCAAAAGAAGTCGATGAGGTCCAAATTTACTTTCTGAGATTTCCAAAGGTTTTCACCGACGATGCCTTTTCCAACAAGGGAGTCTCGACGTTCCTCAGCAATGTATCCTGATCTTGGGACATTTCCTGGTGATGAGACCCCGACCGATGAGACTTTTATCCACAGATCCATTGAAAGAAATTCGTCGTCTCGTTCCTCGCAAAGCGGCAGCAACAGAAGACCAAGCAACCTTGTTTGGACGCCTAACAGGAACACTTCGACACCTGGTCGGTCCTCCGGTAATCCAAAGCGTACGCCCGCTCGATTTGGGAATGAGGGATCTGGTGATCGCGACAATGTCACAAGTTCAAACCGTTTATCATCCAAAGCAAAAGTCAATCTACGCCGGAGTATTTTGAAACAATCTGCTACCACAGTGAGAGGTCCTCGTCCAAGTGTTTCGTTTGCCAAACAAAAAGAAGTCGTCACTTTTGCCGCAGAAGAGTTCGGGTCAGTGAGGCGCACATCTCTTCATCCCGAAAACTGTTTTTCTCTCCAGTTCGTCCCTTAGCGGTTCTTCTGGCCAGCCATCTCAATCAACACAATTTCTAACAGATAATATTCAAAAGTTGCCCTTAAGTCCCGTATCAGAAAAGAATGTAGAGAGTTCTAGAGGTTCCTTGCCGTCTTCTCCACATCGACTATCGATCGAAGTGTAAGTTTGGGATCCTACAAAATTCTCCAAGACTTTCCTAAATCATTCCATTTGAGCCAATAGAGACTTTTAGAAATTTGGATTTTTAATAGATCCCTCATCACTTCGTCTTCTAACGGCAATCCGCTTCATCTTCCCCAATTTCTTCTTTCCTTTTTTTTTCAGGCCAGCAAGTCGAAATCCCGACTCTTTGTTGCTCCCCGATAATTATGAAATTTTCGATCATTCCATATCTGACGAGTCCTTCGAATTTGGAACACCATCCTCCCCTCAAGACTGGTCATTCCCAGAGTACGCTTACAAACAAATGACGGCATACTGCAGCTGTTTGGTTTTCTTGCCGTAGATTTAAAGATGTTGACGATCAAAAAGCTCGACGTCGTGGGTCAGTTGTTTCTATCACAAGCTCCCCTGGAGTCTTCTACCCGCGAATGTCTTTGGCAAGTGAAGCCTCATCAGCCTCGAAGCGCTTGAGTACCGGTCTGAGCCCATTCTTATTCAATGGCAACACTTTAACAGAAAAAGAAGATTTCTTAGAACGGGAAACGCGTGCTTCACAAAAGTCACCTTGTGTCCCAAGACAAACGGACCGTCTCCCAGAAGACATTCAAGCGGATATTCCACCAGAAAATGAGAAAAATGACGACGCGCGTGAATCAGCAAGTCAGAAGCGTCGCCAATTTGTTCCGGCCGGTCTTGTCAGCACATCAGGTCGCGCGTCGACACTCGAACGAAAACAAAGAACATCAGTTTCACCTATTCGACGGAAGACAATTGGAGGGCGTGAAGGACTTTCGTCCACAAAGAATCAAAACGTAAATCAGAATGACAGTTTTGATGAAGGAATAGATGGTGGCCTGAGTGTGAATCCCGAATTGGCGTATGACATTGATGACATGACTGGATTCACTTTGGATGAAGACCTGATCAACGATGACTCCTACTCAACTGATGTATCAAATCCTCTTCTCGACGCTCCGCTTATTCCTTCAAGTTTCTCATTATTCAAAAGTGTTGAGCGGACAAAGGAACAGTCTCGTGAAGATCTGCAAGATGATCGAGAAATGAATTATTCAGGTCGACGAAAAACGGAAGGGTCGAAGAGAAGCATCGCCACTCCGCCGCGATCGAGTAATCTTGGGTCGAGCAATGAATTTACAAATAATCAAAACAATCCCAGTGATGAATGCAAAAGCCGAGGATCCCAATTCGTAATACCGCGAATCTCGCTGTCTGGGATCCCACCAAGCTTTCCTTCAGCTGAAAGACGAACTCTTCCGAAGCTAGATAATGACGAAGAAGCTTATCTGTCGAGCGATGAAGAGGAAGACGAAGATGCTGAGGTACAACCGAACCGGAAGGCATCCGAGGAAACATCAGAAAATCAATTGGGACATGAGCAATCATCACTCGAAGATAATCGACTCAGAGAAATGAATCAATTAAGACGAAAAACAACAGGTCCAGAGTCGGCAATACGAGATACTCGATTTCAGAGTGAGGATTCTCTCCGGGAACCATTTCGTCGTACGTCTCATCCTGTCCCACCACAAGCTCCAATGGCTAGTTTCCGTACTCCTCGCGTCGTTAGCAACGGACCATCCCGTGATCAACCAATCGAGCTTCAAGCGTCACCAACAACTGGCGGGGCACCAACCTTGTACACCCCACGGACTGCGATTCGATTACGGGGACCATTTTCTATCATTGATGGCGGAGTTCTTGAACGGCTAGAAGATGGAACAGGTCGTATTACTCCAAGACCGGATACGTTTGATTTGCGGACTGTCCAATTGTCGAGCATCGCAGAAGGAATGAAAGACAAGCAAAGTCGAGAACTCAATCAAGCATTAAGTGCAAACGATGCGGATGGACAATCATTCGCGGGTAAAGCGTTTGGTGTTCAGAGAAGTTCTCATGAGGATGGTATCGATGATGGTATGGATCTATACAGTCATCGCGGTCATCCTCAAAGAATGTCGACGTTACGTGAAGAAGAAAGTGAAGAAGAAAGTGAAGAAGAGGAAGGGGAAATTTTGAATTCCCAAAGAAGAGAAGAAAGGAGTGGTGCTCACAGGAACTCGAAGATTGATGATTCCGTCAATGAATCGACAGCAACAAGACAATCAGTTGTGGCGTCGCGTGGTCGGGCTAGAAGAAAATCATCAAGGCTTTCTGAAGCGCAATCGTCTCGTTCACGACAATCCGAAAAAGCACGTGATTCTGAGCATTGGGACATGGACTCTGGATTGAGAACAGCAAACCGAAGTTCATTCGGTGGATACGATGATCTTCTTCCTCCATTAGATTTGCCACGATCTGGATCAAGTTATTTTCATGAAGATTTTTCATCTTCAGATTCGAGTGAAGACGAAAAGGTTTTAGATCGCACATCATCGATGAGTGAGGACTTGGAGGAGAAGGATCGTCGTGAATTGGAGGGAAGAAGATCAACGAAGAAGAGCGATGAGAATGATCCTCCAACAACGCTGCGTGAACCGACAAGAAAAACGAACGTTCGAAATTCAACAAATCAAAGAGAAATGCAAGAAAAAGACTCGACAGAGAGTGGAGGTAAAACGGTAAACCGTCAAAGCGTCATTCAAAATCAGTCACAAAACGTTTCCTCGGAAACTCCGCCTCGACAATTTCCTCCACGAAATGACGCATCGCGACGGAGCGAAGGATTATTGAAACGTAAATCTCCGAAGCGGTTGAAACGAAACACCGAAGGAATATCGAGCGAAAGACCTTCACAAAACGACATGCCTGAAGCGTTTGCATTTTCACCGACTGATGAAGGAACGACTTCAGCGAGTCTTCTGATTGAGCAACTAAGAGCTCAAAGCAACGCAACAGGAGGACAGCGAGAATCCCAATCCATTGTACAATCCCACACTCTACAATCCCACACTCAGTCCCAATTTCCTTTTGAATCTCCACGTTTCGGATGTGCGAGTGGTTCCCTTCATGAAGACTCCGCCCTTTCTTCGACACTCAACGACTCGACGATGACGTCCGTGTATCGCTCGTCTTCGTTGAGAATACGCCGGAGTGAAGCGAACAAACGTGCGGCTTCTTTAGGAGTGGACAAGCAAGGCGACGTGGGATCCTCAAGATCGCACGCGAAGGACAATGACGCACTTGGAAGAGAATCAATTGACGACGACGGACTTGATGAGGCGCTTGACTCGCTGTCGGTGTTTCGTCGTTCCGAGAGAAAAAGAGAATCAACGATGTCGGAGCGACAACTTCTGGTGGATTCCGCCAAAGAAAAAGATATCGCAGTGAATCTGTGTCGAATTTTTAGAGATCAGGGAATGGACGAGATCACTGCAAGGAAACAAGTTCAACGCGTTCTGCCTGATTTGAAACGGACGGAAAGAGATCGTTTATCTGTTCATCAACAACAGGATGAAGCGACTGAAAGACTGGGACATCGAGGTAGAGAGTCTACATTGGAGGAAGGGAATTTGGGATATCAAGGAAGCGATTCCATATCGGAAAAAGAGAATTTGGGACACAGGGGAAGAGATTCCACATTTGAAAAAGGAAGTTTGGGACGCAGAAGAAGGGACTCCTCTCTTGAAAAAGGGACATTGGGACACAAGGGAAGGGATTCCCTGTTGGAAGAAGGGAATCTCAGGCAAACTCGAAGCTCCTTACGCCGTGAAGAGGGAAAGGAAGGAAGGAAGTCACTTAGAGATTCAGTAACAGAATTGGGACATGGAAGTATTAGAAGGAGGAAATCCTCTTTTGATGATGGGACTCCGCCAGTTCCATCCCATGGATTAGAATGGGAAGAGTTTCAAGAGATTTTCTGTGACGGAAGCTTCAGCCGGAACTTGTTGTCGAATGGATTTCCAAGTTTGGAGCAATTAGCAACAGTTGTTTTCAATGAATTCGGTGATTGTAAAAAAGATGAACTCGCTAAAATTTCCTATGAGTGTCAATCAGAGTGGACGATAGAAGAGTTGATGACTCCACCGATTCTTGACAAGATGATCGACCACTTCAAAAGGAAAACAGAAGCTGGAAACCGTCGATTGAGTGGAATTCTAACGAGGAAAAGAAAAAAGGAGACGGCAAGTCCGTTAATCAACGAAGAGGTCGCCGAGGTTCCAGAGGTTGCAGCTCTATACACGTTTCTCCCATCAATGGACGACCCAAATGCAGCTGAGAAGATGAGCAAAGTGATGGAAGCTGCATGGAATGGGTGTTATGTCTATCATAAGCGTGAAGCATGGATTTCTGTCATGCGGGATTTGTGCGAAAGTTGGAACGACACATTAGAAGAGATTCATACAAAAATGGAAAATTTTCAGTCGACTGATCTCGCAAAGTTGTTACAATTATGGTGCGATCGTCACAGAGCGGGGGACGATGAAGCAGAAAGAGTAAGAATGGATGAGGACGGGGGGCTTGGTGCGAAATTGTTAGATAAGAGAGACGCCGCATTTGGACATTCTAAACTTTTGCTGGACAGAGAGCTCGTCGCTCGCTGCTATTATTTCTGTTTGTCGCTTTTTTTGTTACAGAAGTTGGCAAGTTTTGGAAATTACTTCGATGAGAGGCGCGAATGGATCTACTTGAGAGCTTGTATTCATTGGAAAACTGAAATTAAAGAAAAATTTGAAACTCTGTTTGCATCAAAGATGGAAGAGAGCATCAAAAAATTCTGCGTAGGTGGTGATGAAATATCTTGGAAAAGCTTAAGCAGCTCTGGCTCAAATGCTTCTATTTCAGCTATTAGATCAACTTATGGGAGAAATGGCTCGATTGTTTGAGAGAGAACATGACATTGTGAAAGCAGAGATTCAAGAAATGAATCAAGTAAGAGTCATGATGGGATAGAAACCAACTAGGATTCCCCTAGTAACGGCGAGTGAACAGGGAAGAGCTCAAACTGAGAAAAGAATATTTGTGTTGTAGAAAAGTTCACTTCAAGCTGTTACACAACGAGCAGTGGAGCAACTGAAGCAATCTCTAGCGTTTGACAAACAACAAGCAGAAAAAGAGAACGAAAAATCTGAAAAACGAAAAGGCTTGATCAAGCAACTGAAAGAGAGAATAGAACAGGTGAGGAAACCCAGTGATCAAGGCGTCTCAAATGTCGATCTGTCAGGATTCCATAGATTGTGTCAAAATTGAAAAAGAAATTTCTGATATGGAGCTTGAAATCCAACAAAAAAGAGTTGAGACAGACACTCGAGATACATCTAGTTGCGCAAATGTGTTTCTTAGGATGTTATTCGCTGGAGTACAATTGAAAAAGATGTAGCAGAAGCACGTCAACGCAGTACTGGATATATTTTGAAGAAGCAAGGAATGGATCATATTGAGGTGTCAGTGATACCTCAACCACATCTTAGCTCATTCCAGTTATGGCTTGAGTATTTGAGGTCACGTGAAGTCCAATTTCTCAGTGAACCCGTTCAATGTAATCGATGCTTTCATGTATCCGCTAGAGTTAATAGCTGTTATTTAGAAAAGACGGAATGCAATTCTTTGTTTCTGAATTCACAGATAATCACGAGAGAGAAGATGAATTCAATTCCAATTATGACGAATGGAAACTGAGAAGAGCGCGATTATCTGGAGAATTGGGGGTTCTTGAACATCAATTAACTGTTGCAAATATTAAGGAAAAGTACTCCAGTTTGTTGCACCTAGGGGTAACAACTCAATGATCTCGCGGGGTTGATGTGAATTTGTATTTCAGATTCCGATTCGAACAACAATCCGTGTTTGGTGGAGACTTGATCTCGCAGGACCTCCATCGTCAGCCTTCGACGAATCCGTACCAGAGAGGCCTTCAAAAGATCAACAGGGTTCATCAGAACGGCTACTTTATGAAGGAATGAAAATTCAGCTGTCATCCAATCTGGTTGATGATATCACACAATACTTGACACCTCCGCTCATGATGCTACACCCTCAGTATGATGAATCGCAAATTGAAGATGATCAACAATATGAGGAAGTGATGGAGAATCGAAAGAGTAAGTCTAAACAGTTAATTTCAATAATTCTCCCCGTCGGTGAGATAGAATGTCAGTGAGATAGAATGTCAACCTGATGAACGTCTCAATGGCCATGAATATCTTTTTTATCTCATTTTAGATGGCTGTTTCTTGTACCGGCGCTACATCGTTGATCAGGCTCTAGATGTTCCAATTCGAGCCAGCTGTGGGCGTTTACTCTTTGATTGGGAAATTCGTCGTCGGCTTTTCGAATTCGTACAAAGGCGAGTTAATGAGAAAATTTTTAAAGAAATGCAAGTACGTCACGGAAATAAAGGGAATCTGAATTTTTCACTGACTGATTTGTTTTCAGGAAAAAGAATACTTGAAGCCCAGTGATTTGAACGCCTTGTTGAAAAACATTAATCCGGATGAATGCACTGTGATTCCAGCAGAATTGTTTTCTCCAAAATTTCCATCAACGTTGATCACTGATGCAATTGCATTGTGCATCCTTCATGTGCGTTGCATTGAAATGTTGGTGGAGCAAGAAAGAGAGTTATTGAAGCGTTATCCACCACTTGGAGCCCATGGTGGCGCCGAATTAACGTGTACGTGATAGGAATCTGTGTTCAGTCGGATAGAATAGATATTCGTTGAATAGATACTCGTTAAATAGATATTCATTGATACTCATTGAAGGGATATTGACTCTCAAAACAGATAGTTGTCGTATTTCTCAACTTGTTTCTTCAATTGGGGAATTGTGATAAATAAGAGATCGATTGACAAAATCAATTCAAGTCGACAGTCATCGATCCATTGTTTCTCGTAGACATAAAAAAAGGATCCCCACTTCATGACTATCGAGATCCCCCACTTGATTCGAATGACGTTGAATTCTGTCAAGATGATACAGTTATCTTTCATGTCGAATTACACAACAAAGCTCTTCGAAATCGTGTGGATGAAAATCAACTGGAAAAAGCAACGATCATGATTGTGGTACGTTCATATAATAGCGTCACAATGAAGAGTGACCCGAAATCTTTTCTGTATATTTTCAATCTACATTCTCTTTAATTGAATCGCAGTGTAGTGTGGGATTTAGTATTGCGACCAAATCATGGATTTGCGGTATTCGTGAAAACAAATCGACTGTCCTTGTGAGCGAGGATGTTTGGGATTTGACTGATGACGAATTAGAAAATCGAATAGATCTGCGCGATAGAATGGTGGATGTTATGAAACATCGCATACAAAAATGGAAGTGAGTTGATGAAATTGGGACAATGATGGAATTGGGACAGAGAAGTTAGATCGAATCGAAGACAAATTTTTGGCATTTTTTTTCAGAACGTTTCAAAGAGCTCCACAAGTAACAGATTTGGCGGAGCTCATCACAGAGATTGAAATTGCTGGGAATTTTGCTCCAAGAAGTACAAAATAGATAAATTCGGGTGAACTAGAGTTTATAAATTCAAATCGATCTTTTTTGTACGAACAAAAAAATAGGATCATTAGGGCGAAAACACAGGCAACTATTGATGGGACCTCTTCTCCTCAGTTCGTGGCCTTAGTCACGTTTGGGTGTGGCTGTATACTTAAGCGATGATAATGGGCTAGTTGACTATCTAACGCCCCTTTGTCCCATTCAACATTCAATCTAACGGCATTCCCCAAATAGTTTTATCATCATCATTCCACAGCGTTTATGTCCCAAATGGCTTCATCATCCAACCAACCGATCCCCTCGTCATCTGCTGCAGTCTTTCGCGGGGGGCTGCCTGCAGCAGGCGCGAATGGTGTTCACGGCCTCGGTTCGCCGAAGTCGTCTACCTCATCGTATCGAAGCCTCAGAACGCGCGGAACGGAGTCCAACGTTCCACCACTGTCCCAAAGCATGTCTGGCACTTCCCGCCTGACAAGAGCGACTGGTGCTGGGGGTCCGAACCGTATTCCTGGCGGAGCGACATTCGGATCTGAATTTTCTTCAACGGGAATGGGAGACTTGCACGAACCGTCGGACGCGCTGCGACCCCCATTTGCTAGGCCGGAAGAGTTTGAAGATATGGTTGGTGATTTACGGAGGGTGTTTATCGGATGGTTAAAAAAGACAGAATCTGAATTGCGAAAAGAACGAGAGTCAATCATCTCAGATAGAAAGTCATTTGACGAAGAAAAGAGAAAAGCTTGGAAGGCATTTCTAGTTGAAAAACAAGCAGAATACGAAAAACTTCAAGTGAGGAAATGATCAGCACGTTGAGACTGTTACATCGTCTTGTGATGGGCTTCTGGTATCTCACTTTCTAATGTCTGAGATTTAGCTCTCACTGACAATGATGTCGTTGCTCTAGGAAGAAAGAAGGCGTGTTGAAACGGAATCAGCTGCGACCATGAAGCAAATTGCTGTGGAACGAGAAGACGCACGTCAACGAATAGTCGAAGAACGCGAGCAGTTCGATGGAGAAAAGGACAATTGGAAGCGGAAGATGCTGATGGTAAAGCATGGGGGACATTGGAATAAATGTTGGGGGGGATGAATTGGAAATAGGGGTCGATCATTGAGTCCATATTATATTCGTCGTCCCCACTTTAGGTATCATTGTCTTCTTTTGTGATTTCTATTCGTTTTTAGGAACGTGAAAAGTTTCTACAAGAATTTGACGCATTTGAGGAAGAAAGACGGAAAATTCGGGATACGAACATCGCAGTTCAAACAGTTGTCGACCTTAATGTCGGTGGTGTCGTTTTCGAGACGTCTCGACTAACGCTAGTACAACAACAAGGTGAGGATCCTTAATCACGACAAGCAGGGACATCTGTAAACCCGTCAACTACCCCGCGACAAAACATCTCCATTGTACCTTCACATCATCATCAACACATCCATGCATTGAATATCTTTCAGGGTCTTTCCTTGAATCGCTTTTGAATGGTCGTCATCAAGTATCGAGGGATCGGCATGGACGAATATTCATTGACCGAGATTCAGAACTCTTTAGAATCCTTCTTCAATTTTTACGCGATCCTTCAGTCCCTCCTTGTCCCAGGTAGCCATCAACCATCCGATTAAATGTCCTTCCTATCATCTCTTTATACTATCTCACTCTCGATTCTTCAACACACCGAATACTTCTAAATTGCAAATCTTTTCTTCAGAGATTCCGCTGAAAGTTCTGCTATTTGTAGTGAAGCTTCTTATTACGGTCTCAAATTCTTCCCATTCCCTCTTGGTAATGTTTGCATTGCTGCACTTCAACAGAGCCCTTCGTAGAATTGTGACGCTTTTATTTTGTTGTTCTCTGAATCAAATGGTGTCCTTGTTCCTCCTCAGTTTTTGCTCTGGGTGGCCACAATGGTGTGGACCATCTTAATACTGTCGAAGTTCTTGATATAGCGCAACAATGTTGGCGTCCTTGTTCACCATTAGAAACCGGTAGGATGATGATTGTATATCTCGATAACAATTCTATATCTCGCAGCTCGAACATATTTTGGATCAGCATCGAGTCAAGGTCGTTTATATGCCTTCGGTGGTCAGAACTTCGATTACAAGGCGTTATGTGATGCTGAGCAATACGATATTCTGCGCGATAAATGGGTTCCTGGTGAGGCTCTGCATTCGAATGACGCTGGAAGTGCTTGATAACAAACTGAGTAAAAGTCTCTCCTTCATTCGTCTTTTGTTTTTTGTATTTCCTTCTTATTTTGTCCCTTCCCTTTTTCCCTTTCTTCGATGTCTTGCAGCTCCAGCTCTGAATATTCCTCGAAGAAATGCATGCGGAGCTTCGTTGGGAAATCGGTAATTCTTGTCGAGTGATGATCCTGTCCCAAGTCTTTTGTCCGTTCCTGTGTTTCCAGAATATTCGCGCTTGGAGGATTCGATGGAACCAATATTCTTTCTTCTGTTGAAGCTTATGACCCTCGAATAAAGAACTGGATGGAAGTATCGCCCCTGATGATTCCAAGATCTTCTGCAACATGCTCGGTCTTCGGTACGACGCGCTAGGAATAGAAACCATAGATAATAAATACGTTAAGAGAGTGGGACAGATAATAAATACGCTACAACAATGGGACAGTTCCATGGTGGATCCCTTCTAGGTGAATCTCTTTATGTTTTTGGTGGCACAACGGGCGAGCGTCTTCGGTCTGTTGAAAGGTTCGATCCCAGAGCAAATAAATGGGAGTCCTTACAACGGGACATGATTGAAGTAAGATTGAATCATCACTGAAGACGTTGGACAAGTCCCAAATATATCAACCGAATTGTCCCACATGCAAATATATACAAGAGAAATTCGATTGCTTGTGTGTCATTTCAGGTTCGCTCTGCAGCGTCCTCTGCAGCCTACTTAAGTACATTATTCGTCATGGGTGGTATGGACAACGGACACCAGATTCATTCGTCTATAGAGTCCATGGACTTGCATTCGATGGTATGAATTGTGAAGGGCTCCAGTTACAAAGATAATTTACGCCTGGTTTTGTTTCAATCAACAGAAATGGATTTTCCGACGGCAAATGCCCCAACCTAGGATGGACGCTGCGAGTGTCGTTGCGTCTGACTCGATTTTAGTTGCAGGAGGACAAAACGAAGAAGTATTGAATTCCACCGCATTCTATCGTGCAGATGTCGATGAATGGACGGAAGGTGCGTTAAATAGAAATTGTTTCACTCCACAGGGACAAGAGTCTCATCCATTCCAATTCATTTCTCCATAACGTGTTCAAATTGTATCGACTGCCTTCTTCAGGACCATCTATGCTATTCCCTCGTTATGGCCACAGTCTTTTAGTGTCGAATTTGTGACGTTTTGAGGTCTTTGTCATTTTTCGCGACGCCCCTGTATTACCTAGCTGTATTAACGCAAGCATGTCGGTCAAATTTTGACGGCTTAGGACAAACTCAACCACAAAAAGGAAAAAAAACACCCCATTCGTTACTCAAGCGGAAGCTGATACAGAAACATCTCAACCGCCAGATGACGTTGACGAGCAGGAAGGCGTTGAAAGTGCTGGAGAACTTCATGGATGCCATTCCTGGAATTGCAAGCACTCATCGAGACTGAGAGAGAGATATTCGAACATACCGAATGATAACTTGCTGAAGCAGATATTGAATCCAGGATGGCAACCATTCAATGGGCTCAACCACGCGGTACACATCAAAAAGTGATTGTAAGGAGAAACAAGCCTAAAACACATCAAAGCACGAAAAGAATGAAAATTGTCTTTGTAATCTATGAGCAAAATATCCCCTTGATTACCGATGAAACAACAATAAGAAATTCCGAGATTCTGTTAAGTGAACAATAGATCTTGAGTAATTCCCACCATGCCTGGAAAGAATTTTGAAACACATCGTTGAGTCATGAACACAAAAGAATTTCGAAACACGTTGGGTTGAGCGATTAACATACTCGATTGCAATGGCGTCGGACCAAAACCCTTCTGAAGGCTGCTTCTGCCTGACTGAAATGGAGGGTTCGTTGACACAAAAGTCCCCTGCAAGGATGGAGAGGGAATAGTAAACAAGGGGGAGGCAAATGTTTCGCACCAAATGAGCCACAATTCCGCTGAAGTTCCTGATGAGTCCGTTTTTGCTTGAGGGGGAAAACCATTTTGATCAAGAATTGACGAAACAATTCTCTGATCAGATTCTATACGATTCAAGATTGAGAGAAATTTGGGACAGCAACTGGTCGATTCTTGAAGATGATAAAGACTTGTGGGATGAGCATCTTGACATGAAGGAGTTAGATGAGATGAGGATTGTTTAAGCTGTTGCGATAAAGATTGTAAAAGGCGATAGACATGACGATCGACAATGTCTGAAGGTTTGGCAAGATTGGAAATAAGGATAACAATAGTTGAGCATGAAGATAACTAACAGTTATAAACAATAAATGAACCTCTACCCGTAATCAATGACCTGCAATTTTCTCCCAAACGCCGAAGGATCGGAGCTGTTTTAGCTGAGATTCGAGCAATGGATGATGTACTGTAGGTCGGGGAGTGGATGGCCCCCAATTGAGATCTAATTGATTGCTTGATCCTGAAACGATTTCGAGATATTCATCGAGGGAAGGATTAAGGCCAAAGCCAGGCCCGAGCCCTGATGAGGGAACGAAGAACTTAAGAGAAGCGCGACCATGCACTACCGAACATTTTGTCTATTTACGATGACAGAATACGGCGTGAGTTGTGCTACTGATGACTTAATGACACTCGTTGCGTTCTTCGTACCAGAATGTCGCAACGGATTTTGGGCTACTGGAGGAAGAACTGAATTGTTTGAACTTGAAGACTGTGGACGTCCATTAGATTGATGGGATGATTGAAATTCTAAAATTCGATCAGTTCTCTCTGTTCGTGTTGAACCGCGAGATTTGTCGCTATCGACCGGCGAAGCGCTCGTAGCTGTTCCGTCGTCGCTGGTCGACATTTGAGAGAAACTTTCTTTGGGATTTGAACGATTCCCGTTACAGTCGTTCCTCATTAACCGCCTTCGCCGTTTTTTTTTCGCACATGAATTTCCATCTTAATGAGCTTAAATTCTGCGCATAAAGCGCGTCTCTATAGAGTTTCTCGGCTTCCCGATCGATAGAGCGCTTTTCAGCAGAATCGTCTTCGGTGTTTGATGAAAACGGAATCTCTTTTAACCACCAAGAAGAGTGTTCCTCCCTTCCCTGTTCCAAGGCGTGTCTAGATGACGGCGCATGCAATGTCACGTCCCAAGGATCTATCCATAGGGGTGAGTAGAATCCGTTTCCTACAAGGTTAACAAGGGTGCGGTTTGTATTCTCACAATCATCGGAAAACTAAACTATTGGGACAACCTAACAATCATCGAATAATACCTCTATAGCGAGTGACAGTTTCAGTCAGTTTGGTGAAATTTGGAATCCATGTTGCTGAAGGAGTTTGAAATGGTGTAGAAGAAATTTTAGATTCTATGTATGGAATCAGACTCTAGTGGATTCCTACCTTTCAACGATTTGTGGGTGCAGTCACATGCAGCATCCAGTGCTCGAAACGCCTACAAGGATGGAAGTATCCAATTCAGCCAACCAGACGGCCGTGATGTCTATAAAAAATCGATCAGCTGCTCCTCACTTGAGCGAATTCACCAGACTGCAAATGACAGTTAGCGAGACCAATCCAGGAATTTGGGTCATTGGGACTCGCAGCGACTGTTTGCTGAGCCGCCCGTTTAGCAAGCTCGGCCCTGGAGAGATCGGAGAGTGTCAGAAAGGGATTTTCTGTCGGACTCTTACAACTCCGCAGAATCGCGATCGGTAAGGGAAGGGACCCATCGATCTGTGGATTTTGTAGAGATGGGATTGTCGAGAGGTGTGGGATTGTCGAGTGGCGGAAGAGGGGTGGGATTGTCGAGAGGTGGAAGAGGGGTGGGATTGTCGAGAGAGGGACAGCTCGGAACCATTCCAGGAATGAGACATTCTGATGATGATGGTTGTGAATGTCGATGGATCAATGAGAGCAAATATGTTTCCCAAGCTAATGCAGTTGTGGATAGAGGATCATCAGAAATTGCAAGAATAGCGTATTCGAGTGACTGGGGAATGTCACCTGAAGAAGAGTGAAGGAATAAAATCCAAGAAAGTGGCACGAGAAGCTGATGTTGACGCTCCGTGAGGCAAAACTCACCCAGAAGCCCAAAAAGAACCCTGGAAATGTTGACGCGAATGGTAGCTGGATCTTGGGACACCACTGGCGAAAAATGAGAGTTGAAGATATGTGTATATATATACAAAGGATAATTGAGACATTCGTACGTGATTCTGCGATCCCAATGAAAACATTGGGAACAGTAAAGTGACGATCCAAGACGTGTTGCATCAACAATTGAAGTGGGAAGTTTGGATCTGAGATTTGAAAAAATCAGAAAGGGAAAGAGAGATTGCATGGACGTCCATGACTTTCTATAGAGATGCCGAGTGGGTGAATCCACACCTGTTGGGTAGAATGGTGGAGTTTTGATTGTCGAGGAAAGGGGTGCAAAACGCGTAGAAAGGGAAACAAAGTGACTGTCGTGTTCGAATCCAGGATAGAAACGAAGGTGTAGACTGGTTGGTTGAGTCGGACTCCTGCAGGTAAATTGATACTGTGTGGAGAAAGATAAATGGCGCAAATAGGATGAAAGACCCAAAGAGTCCCAAAACTCTGTCCGTTTAATTTCTTGATATCGATGCCTAAAGAAAAGTGCAAGGAGAAGAAGATGACCGTCAAAGTGCGTACAAAGAGAAAAGAAGAAAACAAACAGAAGAGAGGGAAGTTTACTCAGTAGAGAGTGATCGTACTTTTCGCCTGATGGGGAGACGCAATAGACTTCAAGCGCTGGGACATCTGGTGGTCGTGCTTCTTCAAGATGAACAACAACTCGGACATCAACGTTGAGATAGCTGTTGAAACAGCAAAAGACTCCACGAAGAACTTTAGATTCAAAAAGGGGAGAAGTTTGATTCTGGAGTGGGCGTGATTTTGATTGCAGAGAGTCTGAATTGGTGGAAGACGTTGGGTTGAGTTGGTTCTGTTGGATTCCGTTGTTCGATGGATGAATTTGTTGCGAGGAAGGAAATCGATTACAGCGATTTACAAGATGCATAATGTAGGAAGAGATAGAAGCAACAGAGCAACAATTGATTCCTGAAACGAAGCTGGAGGAAAGATGAGGAATGGAATCTCACGGGAATGATGAAGCACTCGTAAACTAAGGACTCCCACTCAAATTGAATGGGAATGGAGGGAACGTACTGAAAGGAAGGGATCCCAGAATTTCGAGCGCTGAAGGTCGAAAGAGTTCGATCATCTCCAAATCCCAATGAGGTTGAAGTTTCAGGAGGGACAACAAGATTCGCTACAAGGTCGGAAAGACTTGACACATATCTTGAAAAATTATCAAGAATGGAGAATGCGGGTGTCGTTTGAGTGTATTCTTGGGATCTTGTTCTATAGACGTAGCACAAATCGGGAGGACCAAGGGATCCTAGAAAAACGCAAAATCGAAGTGATACATATGAGCCAGTACTGGAGAAAGAGATGCCAACAGAGATAAAAGACAGATGGTACATCGATTGACGAATTTCAAGATGTTGATGGCTCCTAATCTCTCACCCTCCAATTCACCATTGATCAGCGATGTTGTCCTCAATTTGATTGTAGATTCATCGGGATCATGATATTCAAAAACGTCATCCAAAATCCCCACAGCTCCGTCACCATCTGGGAATCCCATGATGCGCGAAACCAGAAGGTCTAGATTTCAGAAAAAGTTGTAGTTCCATTTTCTATTGAAACGGAATCGATTGAAAAGATAATTCGATAAAAACGAATATCTTTTTTGAAAGGGATTTCTTCCCTCCTTCCCGCTTCCATTTCTGTTCCAGCCAGGGACCTGCAATCAGTTGATCGAATCGTTCAAATTCAAATAGTCCTCAGAAAGTGACAGCGAATGCTACGTTCCATAAAACGGGGGGATTCCGAATCTATTCGCGTGTTCTGTTAGACAGAGAATTAAGTTCATTGGCTTGTTCGGTTTGCAAAAATGTGACTTCAGATTCTCGAAAAACGCACGATTACGTATTAAGAATAAGAGCGAGTCTGCTGTGGGAAGCACTTGATGCGTATTTCCCTCCCATGGCACCATCAACAGACGAACATACCTTGGGAAACGACCTCCTCACTGCAACTCGCTTGGTGGTCCTCTTTTTGAAATGAAGCTGCCGCTATTTCAGCGGCCTCATCTTGCAGTAGTAATCAAATGGTTCAGTCGTCAACTCGCAAAGTTGTCGAATGCTTTTTTCTATCAACCAGGTTTGATGCGCTTCGCCAATACCACTGCTAATTCTTTCATCACATTATCCCATCGTGGCGGCTCCAGATGTCGAATATCGCCATCTGTATCGAGAGTAAGAATCGCCCATTCTGAAAGACTCCAAGGCTTTGGAGCCAAACGTTCAGCTGGTGGTGTCGCAGAATGCATCGCATAAACTGCAGAATTTGGTGGTCGTTCACTTCTTGCTATAAGCGATGGAAATTGGATAAATGCACCTCGGGATGGTTGTTGTGGTTGATCGGGCTGCCCTGCTAATCGCGCAGGAGGAGGAAACGAGTGATTGTCATTACCAGGTGAAACGAACCACCAGCTCATCGCTGACTTTAAATATTGAGAACTTTCAAGTTTCAAGAGACTGATTGCCCCGATGATCAAGATGATGTGATGTCCCATGAGTTGACGCTCTTTCAACGAAAAGCGATCAAGAGGCGACTCTGGAAAAGAAATGAGTCGAAGGAAGGAGTCGGAAGCAAAAGCGTACTGGAGTCGCTCCTGGTGGATGAAGCCAATGAACTTGGGGGGGGCTGTTTCTTGTCAATAGGGACAGCCAGTGATGACAATTTTTGCCCTGAAGTGCGTGCTTTGAGCGCTTCTCGCAGTTCATCCATTCCATTTCGTTTGCTTGTTTCAAGTTCTCTTCTGGTTTTCATAATTTTCTCAATGACGCGCGCTGTTTTAGGATTCACTTGTTGTCCGGCCTGTTTCATCTCACACACTGTTGGCAGCCTCCCCACTTGAGCCTTACGTAGTCGGTCCATATTCGAAAGCTGTCCCGATGGCGCGACGTCTTTAACGACGGTCACTTTCGGGAGAGCCTGTTGAACTGTTGGATCGAGCGACGGAGAGACTTCTAAAAAAGGTTCTTGTATCTCGACGGAACTACTCTTGTTTAGCGGAGGACGAGATCGATGATCACCAGCAGAGACGAGGGACGCTTTGATGGAATATGTGAAAGTGTGATGAAGTAGAATTTCGCTGATATAGTCATCAATCCTGTTGAAGAGAAGATGGATCATTGTTGTCCCAAAAGCATCAACAGGGGATTTTTGTGTATGCCGCAGTATTGCGAGTTGGGGAAGATTCAAGTAAGAGACCGCCATACTCAAGTCGTTCAATGTTGAATTATCAAGAGCATTAAAAGAGGTCTTTCCATTGAATAGTGAGGTTAATGTAGCTTTTAGTCGACCGAAACGAAGCTGATTATTCGGTCCTTCATCCCAAGTATCGAGAAAGAGTCGAAGTGGAACGTACGGAACCAAACCTTCGAATTTCTGAATCATTTCTAGTTTTGAAAATTCTTCGTGCAGCTCATTTAATTGTGTTTCTTCATCACCCCTTCTCGTCAATCGCAAAAATGGAAGTTGAAGAGATTTGCACGGCGAGGAAGCGCGGCGTTCTGGTGATTTGAGTGTCTCTGGGTCCTCAGCCACTTCAAACTGGGAAAGCTCTGAAAGATCCCATGAAATCTTTTTGGACGACTCTTCAGTCTGATGCGGTCGAACATGAAGATTGACAAACCACCCGAGGCCAGCCTCCAAAAGCCCGCGCTCAGACGCTCGGAGGATCTCCACCCTTTGGGGAGTTTGTGGCTTCAGACGGCATAGAGGAAAGAGTTGTTCTCTTGCATGATCTTTTTTTGTTTTGGGTGGACCGATTGATGGAATTGTATAATTGGATGGCAATACATGTGCAATGCGCCGTCTTTGGTAACGCCTTGACATTCATACGAATCTGGAACAAGATCTGTTTATCAGGAGATATGACACATTGAATACACAAACACGGAATCTATTTCCATAATAATTTGGTTTCAAAAATGAGTGTGGGGTTGTTGTTGTTTGTCAACATCAGCAAAAAAACACAAATCTCTGTGCGTGTCCGATTCCAAAAGAAGCAATATTTTATCGGACAGCTTGCTTTTTCGCTTGTTCAGTCCCAGTCGACATTCCCGTCGATGAAAATGGACGCTTTCGTGAAGCTAAACGTCCTCCTAAAGGAATGGGCCTAACCCCAGGAGGAAACGCCCCCACGTCGCGAATCGTTCCAGGAGGCAGAGACGTCACTATCTTCTGTTCAGCGGACTGATTCGCCACATCACGCCTTTTCTCTACCTTATTGTTTGCTTGAAATGAGGATTGTGCTTCTGTTAACCTTCCCACTCTCAGAACACCTTCGACCGATTCCTGAATCACTTTATTCGATTCTAATTCATCACTACGTATAACCTCTTGGCATGAGGGACATTGACCAGCAACATTATTCCTATCAGCACTACTAACACCACCACCAGTGTCACTGCCTCGAGAGGCAGGTCCACTTCTACCAACTTCGTCTTTAGACGCGGAAGAAAGTCTGGAATATAAACACCTTCTACAAAACGTCTCACCACAACAAGGTGTCAATACAGCATCGTTGAATAACAGAGAACACAACGGACACCTGAGGTGGCCTGCTATCGCAGCGCTTGCATCACCAAAACGCTGATGCACCTTGGACTCGACGGGTTGGGCAATGGAGGCGCTTGCGGCAGTCGCGGTGGGCTTGAGAATGGCAAAGGTTCCATCTGGGACAAAGAGAGAATGAAAGTCAATCAACCATAATGGGATATATGCTGCATATGAAAAAAAGAAACGTCCTGGTTCGGATAAAGCTTGTTTTCTTTCATTGAGTGCATGACAGATGCACATTCTAATACAAAGTTCTCAAGAGTGAAGACGAAAGAAGCAAAAAAAGCACTAAATAACACTTCTATAGAGTCATGGACTATCTTCCAACCTGGTAAACTGTAGACATCACATTTGCATTGGGCAATCTCATCCTCGGAGATCCTTTGTAACCAGCTGCGTGGCAAGCCAGTTGATGGTTTTACTTTCTTCTGCCTTTTTGGATCATTTCCCTTCGGACAATTGCGGATATGGTGACCTTTTTCACCACAAATATGACAAACATAATTCGCATGAACGGGAACTATGGCATTTGGTGGTCCGGTTCCTCGTTTCATTTCAAACTGTCTCCCATTGCTAAAAAGACGAGGCTGCTGAGAATACGATTCCTTCTCCGAGTCCTTCGACCAAGTAAGATTACGGTTACGGTGATACCGGCTTGCTAGACTGTCTCTGGGACGGTGATGGTCAGATCTAGAACTTGTGACCTCATTCGATTGTTGTTCCAACATAATTTTACGAATTTTCAACTGTTCTTGTTCAGTCTCTTCGTCATCATCATCCTCGTCAAAGTCAACAGCGGGATCAAATGCCCCCTCCTTGCTATGAACTCCTTCAATAGGGTGCGAAACAGAAGAGGACGTTAGGTGGGACTGGGATGATGGACGGGAATACAGGGATGGGGGTTCGGATGATGAAAGCGAAGAGGACGACGACGGGTGAGAAGACGCTGTTTCTGATCTCTCTGGATTTGTCTGACGTTGGGACGTCAACAGAGGAAGGCTATTGTCTTCATCATCACTGGATACTGGCTCCAATCCAGTGTGATCAATTATTGAAGAAGCTTTGCTAGACACGGCTTCGGCTGATTTTGCTTCAGCTACACGCTCTTTGGCCTGACACTCTATAGCTGCCTTCAAGAGAGACTTTCCATACGCGTATGGGACTCGAGAAACAAGCAATTTTTGACCCTCATTAATAACGATATTGTCTGAACAAACGTAACGCGACGACCGCCCCTGTTCGTTCAATTCATAAACAACTAAATCCAATGAAGATGGGATTGAGACGATTTTCTTCAATTGACTCCGAATATCGCCAGCCGAAGCAGGGAGTTCTGTTGAAAGCTCTCTTAGTGTTGATTCAGAAGCAAACCGATAAAATATCTTGCTTCTCATTTTTCAACTGAGTGACTAAAACTCGCATGTCTGTGTCCTTTTTTTACTGTCCCAAAGTGTGTTACAATATAGTTGAGTCACATAATGGAAAAACAATGACGACTAAACAGACCCTGAACAAATGTTAATACAAGGATACTCAGTAATCAATATAAGAAAAATGAAGCAGAAGTAGGTAGTCGATGGAGTAAACGTCCATCAAAAGTAATCCATGAAAGCAAATGGCAATTAATGCCATGGACAAAACTAAATAACAACTAATAAGGTCACATCATGGAATGTTGCGATTTTTTACTCGGACTTCTTCGCGCCAGCCAAACTACGCGGAAACGAAGCCTCTTCGAATATACCCGAAAAATGCCAAAAGCATTTCTGATATACTTCTTCGCTTGCGTTTCAGAGCTTTGCTTTTCCTCACGAGACGTTGCAAACTCACGACCAGAGGATCATGACGCAAATGGTTCTCAACGAGCTCCACGAATTTTCTCTGGTCACCAGTTTTTTCCGGAACCATCTTTTCGAGAACCGCTAAACGTCTTTGAGCCTCTGCCTCAGTGAGAGATGCACCCGCTGTTTGTCTTCCCGTGATTGCGAGGATAATGTCATTCTCATGATCAGAGCGATGCACATACTTCTTCAGAACTTCAACAGCTTCAGGGACGGCCATTTCCAATGCAACGTCCCACGCCATCTTCATCAGTTCTTTATCGGACTTCAATACGCTCACTGCGCCTTCAGCACATCGCCCATCCTTCAATCGCATCACCATATCAAGTGCGACTGAAGAGCTCGCGGCAGGGGATCCCGTTTGTAAAACTTCTTGAGCGGCGCGCACCACCTCCTCAGGAGTTTCTTCGCGCTTAATTAGTCTCGTTGGAACAGTCGCAGGCTTCGGCTTCTTGACAAGCTGCGCTCTCGCATCAGCTTCTGACGATTTTTGCAATGCCGCAACAATTCCCGCATATTCATTTGCGTATGGGGCACTATTCTTCGAACGAGAGATGATCATCTGGTCAACCGTGAGCATCGGATTAAGATATCCCGGTTGCATGATGCGGATTTTCGGATCTGCACCGACTTCCATTAGAAACTGAACCAACCGACGATTTCCAACAAAGGCACCGACGAGCAATGGGCTGACATTTCTGGGAATACTTGGGAATGGCCACGGGCCTTGAACGTCATCAACTTCGTTGATGTCCACTGCCCGACGTCTGATCATCTGTTTAAGCAATCGGCGCTTCTCACTTGTATTATCGAAGCACATTGAAAGCACAAAGTTGATGAGATCGGTGTGCGATATTTTATCCGAGCTGCATCGCTGACGCACCACCTTTTTCATCATGTCTTGTGTGTATTTTAAAGGCCTTCCAAGTTTATAGTTCCTCAATTCCAAGCCACGTCGGTTCATCATTCTTTCCACTTTCGACTTCCTCATGGCTTTCTGGGCTTCTCCCTGTAACATCGTCACGAATGTGTCATCAAACGCTTTTCGAGTGCTTCGCGTCTTTCGTGCCTTCTTCAGTGGCGCAAAAGTGGCAGAAGGCTTCAGAGCGGCAGAAGGCTTCAGAGCGGCAGAAGATGTTGAACGTTTGATGGTCTTTTTCCTCTTTCGTTTCATTCTTGAATGAACGATTGGCTCTTCATTCTCAGCAGCTTCAATGTCCTGGAAATCAGGAGCGGATGGTTGTGTCGGTGCCGGAGTTGCTATCACGGGGTCTGGCAGAGGAGTCTTCAGATCTGTAACAAGCGAATTGCGCAACTGTTGAACATATGAAGAGCGTGGTTCGCGTGAGGGTATGAGATGGCCGACCGTCAGTTTTGACGGCATCCAGTTTTTTAATGTGTTGCTGGTCCGTCGGACGACTTCAAGTCCACCGGAACACCCCGACAGCTGGTCGCCCTGACCATTATCCACCTGGACGAATTCACCTGAAAATGGAACATCAATGTCGCACACACTTAGTCATCGTATCCATGCACCAATGGAGATGGACCGTTCTAGTCTCAGTTGGACTCACCATGGAGATTCGGGAAGACAAAAGGGACAACAACACCAAGGCACGACTGCCGCGATACACGCGTGTCAGACTTGAGCCTTGGTGGATTTTTTGCACATTTTTTTGGAATTCGTAGCATTGTAATGGTTGGTCATGCAACCTGATCATGCCAGCTACCGGCCACTCCGGTACAGGAACCACTTTTACTCATTGTATCTCTTGGTCGAAGTACTATGGATTTCGTCATGGCTTGAGAGTCTCTTTAAGCAGGTGAAATAGCGATGCAATTATTTTGTCAATTAGTGTTCTCTCACTCACTCACTCACACTGAGACGAATTGTCATGCTAAAAAGTCCACAAATTAGAAAAGAGAGAACTATTCATATGTGGAGGTCGTTCCCAATACCACTTTACAAGAAAGGACAGAAAGAGCTCAGGAAGATCCTTCGCCTTTGAG